GCCGACAGTTCTATTATTATCGGTGCACGTGCCGCTCTATCGGCAGATAACCGCCTGCACGCGTTCGATACCCGGCCCCCATGCATAATGGACCGGGCACGGGCGCCCGTATATTCGTTCGCCGTTTTCAAACGCACTTCATTTACGCGGCGCGATCCAGCGGCGGCGTTTCTAACGTAAGCGAGCTGGCCAGAGACGCCCGACGGGGCTCAACAAGTCCAAAGAAGTCGGTCTGTGTCTACTTTTACTTGCGCCAGCGCCGCTGCCAAGAAATCTTTGCACGCGACCGCGATTATTAGCGAGAAAAAAACTGCGATTGCGCGAACTTGGACACGAGTTTTAAACAATGCCCATTGTAGAACGCAAAAGACGCAGCATCTCTTTTACCTCTCTCTCTCTCTCTCTGTATTTCTTTCTTTTTTTCTCTCTCTCTCTCGCTCTCACTATTTCTCTCTCGCTCTCCGTCGGTCTCTTGTCTCGAGGCAGCTCGTCCAATAAGCTTTTGTGCCCGCTTATCAGCTTGTTCCGGTGGCTCGGCAGTTTTGGAATTTCTACAGCCAATTTCTACCGAAAGAAAATTCCAATAACGCCTGCCAGAGGATGCTCGGAGGACGCTCGAGGACTGCTGTTTTTCAGAAGAATCTCGCGATAGAGGGGCCAGAGAGCTGGCGTGACTGAAGCGCATTGTGAGAGGAATTGCACAAGCTAATATATCACCGAGGAATGTTGATTCCAAGAACGAAAGCGCGGCCCACCCTCGGTACAAGCTTCCGGGCAGTACCGAGCTGCGTTTTCGGCGTGGCACGGGGGGGCCGGTTCTTATGGAACGCGGCCAAAATGGTGAATTTGATCGCGTCTCGCGCGAATTAACCGGAGGAAAGTAGTGTTATAATAAACGCCGAAGGCTCTCGCCTTTTGTCCGAGCGTCCCTTCGATGTCGGAACGGCGCATTAAGCGCAAAAGGGTTTCCTTAAACAGAAGCTTACGACTTGGCTTCTAAGTTCCGCGCGGGATCGACCCGGCGTGCTCGCCGCGTCCGTTTCGTCTTTTAATAGCCCCCGGGGTTCGAAGTGAAAATTTCAGCCACCGACGAATATCGATTATCGTTTCCGATGGATGCCGGCGCGATAAGATGAACGATAAAACACGCCGCTCGCGATTGTGAGCCGAGCCGAGCGCGAGAAACGGGATGAGAAAGAAAGTCGAGCGAAGAGAGGGTGGCAGGGGCCCTGGTCACGATTTAACCGTGACAATTCGATGCACGAAGGAAGCCGTAAAAGGTGGCTCTGCTCGGTGTCGGTTACGACAGAACTACAAGTGGCAGGAAACGCACACAGTCCCGCGCTTCTCGTTCTTGATAACAGCTGATTACGACCGGAGCCCGGACTCTACGCCTCCGAGCCCGAGCGTATCACGTTGCCTGCACACGTTCGCCTCGCGCTTCTCAATTATTATTACACACGTTTCCCGCCAAAAACCGCCGCTACCCGACCGCCAATCGTTACGTTACGTCGACCTACCCTCGACCGAGCCTGCTACACGACATCCACCAACGCGAGCTAACCAGATTTCCTCTCCCACGGCTAACCATTTGGGCACAATGCAGATAACCACTGCAATTTATTCCCAAAGCCCGGGACATGCTTCGTAGAATTGCAGGAATCGCGAGCGAACGTACAACGATGCCCTCTAAGCTCCTAGACAGACTTAGCAAACGTGCTATCCCCGAATTAAATTGTCCGAGAAGTTGCCCCTTGTGCTCTCACGTTTCTTAGACTTCCGAACTTTTCTCGTAACACACCATTAAGTCATAACAGTAGGTTACTACTCCGTGCATTACGCGCAATTGGTAGAATACCGCCGATGCAACCGCGTTACCATTGCCAACGAGACAATGTCTTTATCTAGCGAAGTCTTTTGCTACTTGCACCACGAGATGAAATTGCGGTCCCGCACCAGAATAGTTTCGAAACAGGTCTAGGCAGCTCGAGGATCGCCTGGGTCTTTCCAATTCCGCGCGACGCATCCTCGGTAACTGCCCGAGTTAAAGAGTCCATTAATTAATCCAGCGTACCAAGAAGAAGATCCGACGTCGTTATTTCGTTTAAACGGCCGAACCAATTTGCGCCGCGACTGGAAACTCGAGACAATAGAGGATCGCACGGGTCCGCGCGAACACGCGTCGAAGAAGGACTGCACACACACGGTAGCTGAGCTAGATCGAGCAATCTCTGTGCGAGGGTGATCAAAGCGTAGCACGTTACCAGCGCCCGGAGGTATCTCACTGGCAGGTACACCTTGGGGACCGAGCGGCGAACACCATGCCCGAGCAGGCAGGGCAGATAAGAGATGAAGAAGAGGACGGAGGCGGGTAATTTCGGGGCTGTTTCGCGGGCAGGTCCAGGGGCGGGTGCACGTGTCCGGGTCGAGTAGCTATAGACACTCTATACCCTGGCGCGACAGTGGCACGGGTTTACGGTACGCACTAAAAATAGCGGTACCCATAAAACAGCACCGTTCGAGAATCGCCACGAGACCTCGAGGACGTGGCGTACAACCGCGGTGGGTAACCTAAACATTGCCAGCCCGGCGACAACCGTTCCCGTGCGCTGATAAACAGCGAAACAGAGGAAATAACGAAAACGAAGACGCTCGTCGACGAAGGAGAAATTATCGAAGCGGCTGATTAGATTGGGAAAGCGTGTCGCGTCGATGGGAAACGTTTCGACGGGCTGGCATAGTCTACCTTGGATGGGGCAGGGTGCACGGGACAGGCGGACTGAGCCCGCGGACACCTAGGCCCGGGGTGTTAATTGGCGAGCGTAAATCGCGAACGGACGGACGACAGCTCGTACGCAAAATACTCACGATATCCGTGGCCCGAGTGACAGAAGGCTCGTCGTAACCCGTGTCGAGATGGCTCATCTTCGGACGGTTGTTTACGCGACGGCGACACTCGGTTCGACGCGGGTTCACCACTTTACCACCGGCCCATGCTCGTGCATTACTCTCGTCCGCGGATCTCTCGGTCTACCCGTTGATTTTCACGCATAAAATCGTAAGATCACGCGTGCCTGCGCTCGCGGTCGATCCTTGGAATCCATGACAGGTACGAGCACGGGTATGGCCGTGGTTCGCATGCGCCGAACCACAAGTTATCACGCTCTGCCACCGAAGAGACAGGCGGCTAATACGTATAGCCGAGGAACTACTTCGTTCGAATGAAAATTTCGAAGCTACCCTGGCTAAATCGCCCGAAAGCCACGCCGAACGCTGCCGAGCCGGATCCCATCGGGATCCAGGCCTGGACCCTGGCTACCGAAGCTCTGGACCTATCTCGACGCTGCGTGTACCGTTCGATCGCGGAATTTAATCTATTGGATTCGGCTGTTCGTACCGTGGATGACGAACGGGATTTCAAAGATTTATCTTTTTTATCGCTAGCCCCGGTTTCAGGAGGATTCTACGGTTTTTGGGAATTTGGAGGTCGAGGAAGCTGCGGGGCTCTGGGAGAGACCGATTTTTTGGTACCGGGTCTCTGCAAAGTGCTTAGTAATACAATTTTTATATTTTGATGTAGAGTCTAGTCGTTTGTATCTATTTTACCACATAAGGAGAGACCACATCCAGGAATTCGCACCATTTGTGTTTTATTATGTATATTTTTATAGCATGCAATTATATGTATATGGAAATAATTATTAATTTATTTTGCAGCCACTTTCAGGAGACACATGCAAGTTTATTAGCCCAGATGAAAAATACACCATTTTATTGTTTAAAAGTGAGATCTTACACTGAACCTCCTTGCTTCTCAAAGTATATTGAACATCATACTTACTCTATCATATCACAGAACAATACACAGACTTTAAATTACATTTATCATATTAAAACCTATGAGGCTTAAACCTAAATTATTGTAACCATTGGAGAGAATGAAAAATTTGACAGAGGAAACGTATAAAATATTGTATTTACTAATAGAACGGATCACTGAAGCCCTAAAGTAGGTCTGGGTCATGTCTAACCCAAAGCAACCTTTTCCACTTTCATCTTAGAAGCTAAGCCACATTATAAACTTTATTCTATAACCTTATCCTAAATATTCATACCATTTCATTATTATTATTATTTAAAATATTAACTTACCTAATCCAAATCCAAACATGTCATCCATTATTCAATCCACTAATCCTCCTAAAATTAAAGAATTATTTAACCCCTATGTCCAATTCGTCAAGAAAGTACGTACAACTATTCTGCATCATTCCTGTGACAATAACGCACCATATTTGTCATTATTTTCGTATGCAATCTGTCATTTATTCTTCGAACACTGAGCAAATCCGCTGTGCGATTTGATTTAGTCTACGCAATCTTAAACATCGTTAACTAGAACTTCCGGTACAAAATAGTTACTAAATATTAACTACTAGGTTAAAATGTAAATCAAGAGCGACGGCTTATTATCGGTCCGATTACCAAAAATACAAGGTTTATTAGTTGTTGATATACAAATGAACTAATTAGTAAATCATAATTTCAATAATTTGAAAATTAATGTAGATCGATATCGACCATTCAGCGCCACCACCGCGATGTCGTCAATTGACTTGCGTCGTCTAATTTCACTGGAGTTTCAAAGGCTACCACAATCCCGCCGCTTTGCTGTGCTCCGAGGGTCCAAAGTTGCTGCAGAGAAAATAGCCGGAAAATTGAGGAAAATCTGGATGGTAAGCTGCAGCCTTGGTGCAACGAAAGGTAAGAACACCATTGTTATCGATTCATCGATAAATCACGGTCAGAAATTGCTCTGACAGTGTTTTTCTTGCGGAGCCTGTGTCCAAGCACAATGACCGTTAGAAAGATCTAGTTCGCGACCAATGTCTTGAACAATTTCGATGTTTCCAACGAGGTACAGACCTTGTCAGACCATCGCGATCATCGCCAACTGATTAATTCGATGATTAAAAGATGCTATGAAAATAATCCACAGGTTAAATTACATATATACTTTATTATGCATATGAATCTTCATATAGAGAGACAAAATTCTTTCATTACAATGAGTCAAGGTATTCTCTATTCGGTTTCATAGCTGACAACAAACGGTTTCAATGATCTAATGATTATTCAGCGCATTTTACAATTAACCACTGATGTTCAACGTTGCTAGCAATTCTTTCGATATATTATATGTATATATATATACTTCGATACCAAAGAGGCTTTTGGTAGCCATGTTTCTTTCACGTCTCGTAAAAAGGAATGAACAATGCTATCAACTTAGAGATACATAATTATTAAATATATACTGCTCATATATAGACAACGTGCACACTTCGGATTAAAATCTAAATCGATCTACGAAATTATCTTTCGTTAATTACCATAAGAAACAAAACAATTCTTACTAAAATTCGATTGGAATAAAATGTACAAAAAAAGAGAATACTCCTAAATAGAATGTACACGCTAAAAATATACCTTACAAAAAAAACTCGATTGACAAAAAAATATTGGCACAGAAAGACTTTCTTTTTTCTTTTTTTATTTTCCTCTTGGTATCTCGATCTCCCATTTCAAAGTCGTTCGATCTGAGTATTTCAGAGTTCTGCTCGATGTATGCGCCGGGAAAGAAACAATATTTGTTTAAAAAAGTCGTATTTATGCATTGAGATTACTCATTTACAATTGATTGGGATGGGACGCCATTAACATCGCGTCTCGTACAGGCCGCTCTTGCCTATATATCTCACCCACTTGATAACGTCGTGGTCGGAATAATTCAACTTGGACTCGAACACTTTCAAGTAGCGTACTTTGAACCCAGATGGTGCGAACGGTACCTCGAATGTCATGGATATCGGTGGCCGTGTCCATTTCTTTTTCGTGTCGGTTTCCAGCAGATCGATCTCCGCGGACAACTGGGTCTCCTTCATGCCAGGCATTCGCTTGATCTTCCACACAATCGCGTTCTCGGACGCTTTGTACTTTGCCTTCCCTTTCAAACAGATCAATTGCACACCCGCGGTGTTTAGAGGCGTTGGTACACGCACTTCTATCTTCTGACCCAGCAGAGACGGCTTAAAATTCGATTTCAGCACTGCCTTCACCTCCATCTTTGTGCGTCCCACCTCACGTACCAATGGAATGACACGGAATGGCAATGATATATCCTTAGTTGTACGGTATCTGTAAACCACGAACAGAGACGATTAGAAACTTCTAGTAGCTTAGAGCGACAGTTAGAATCTCATTTCCAAGACACTTACCTCATTAACTCGAATTCACCATCGGGTGGAATGAAACTAATGGCATGTTCTGTCTCAAATTTACTAAGCTTTACGCATTGATGGAATTGGCAGTCATCGATAACAACAACAGGTTTCCCAGACCTGCTACCTGCAGGGTCATCTCCACCTCCTCCCAGACCACTTCCACCCTTCATACCCTTAGCTTCCATAACAATCTTATCATTGATTCCAAACTTGCATTCTGGCATTCCAGAGAGATAAGACTTCATCACAACCTGTTGAAGTAGAGGCATGAATTATTATGAAATTTTGTGATACTTTCTTCTGAATCTCTTAAACAATGAGCTTGGATATGAACCTTCCCAGCAACATGCGCGCTAAGCACTTGGCCCTGAGGGCTCATTAGGAGATTCACAGATTCCAGGACATCCAAGAATAGCTCGTTGCGCCTGTACTTAATTCCCTCTCTTCTCCACCCAATCTGACCAGTTACTTGAGAAGTTATTTGTGCTTGCTCCTCCTTCGTCCCTGACTTGACACCTTGTTGAGTGATGAATGTCTTTAGCACTCCTGTGTCACAATTCTGTGGATATCCAAAGTCCAAGATCTCTGCATATGAAATTCCTGTTAGCCTCTGCCATCACCATCTTAGTAATGCATTTTTCATCAAGATACCAACCATCTAACAGCTCATAAATCAGCACAAAGTTGTTCTTAATGTTCTCTTCGGAGATCTTGCCAAAGTACGACTGCATAACATCGATGATCTTCAACAAGAACTCGAATACCATAGCTGCATTAACATTCTGTTTGGTAACAGCTGCCAACCAGATGTTGGCACGTTTTATGTGAAAGAAGGATGTTCTTGCAATGTTTGTAACCGGTGAGCGTACTTGTTGCCTAGCATGGATAACATTGACACGAAATGCGTCCACTGCATTCCGACCAATGTCATCCCGATAGACTCTGGAGATGAGCACCTCACCCTTGTGATTGTATACAAACAACCCCCCTATCATCTTGACAGAGGGCACTCCTTATTGCTTTGACTACAACCAACCTATAAGCAAAGATCCATTAGCTGTTGATTGCTATTGCAACTACAAACTTCCACACGTTCTGAGTAAAAATATTAAACAATGTTAATAATCCTGGTGAACAGATCAAGCTTTAAATATTATAGAAAATATTATCTGCAAATTGGGCTCAGGAATATTTCTAAATAAAAATGAGGAACTTGTAAGAAAATGATTAAGAGAAAACAAAGTTTGTACACCCGAGCTCTAAATATTGTAGAAAGTTCTTCATGCAAATTAGGCTCAGAGAAAGCTCCTAATAAAATCAGAGCACTCGCAGTAAAACAGAAAAAATTGTGTGAAAACAACTGTTTATAGAATAGTTTGAGAAACAAATATCCATAAAAAAGAGAGAGCTCTTACTCCAAACTGAATTACCAAAATTGGATGGCCTTTAAATTTATAACCTTCTTTTCTGGTATTTACCCAAGCCCAAAAGGGACTTTAAAGAACATAGTAGCAGACTCTCGACAAACGATAGAACAACAAAATTGTATGAAACGTACTCCGAGGTGGACGAACTTCGAGAACGTTGCGTTCGAAGAATCAGGTTTTAATATATAGGATTTCTTGGTCGCATAGCCGTCCGTACGATACAACATAAATATACGTGTACTACACGATAACGCCCCTTTTCTTAAATGACATTTGAAGTTCTTTGATATGTCTTGTAAACGGTTAGTATTATTGATCGGAAATGGTGCTGCCTATACCGTAGATAATGACATTATCAGGCGTACTTTTCAGATAATTTTAAGACACGGCTGCGTGTAATTAGGAATTTTTAGTATCGTAAATGATCACTTACGCATGACTCTTATTGCCGATAGTAAAAATAAGCGATACTTATTTGTATCGGCCTCCGAAAGGCACGGTATCGGTACCAACCTACTGGTACAAGTGCGAACTATCAAATGACGAAAGCAACACCCACTTTTCTGTACTACGTGTCTCAGAGATATATGCCGTTACAATCAATTATCGAAATAAAGAGAACTGTATGCCGCGAGCAGCACGATTCTGCTGCATCAAAGTTTAGATTGAAGTTGAAGCGGTTGCGCTCATAACTGCACCCCTTCTGCGTTTGTAGGGCAAACAGGGTTGTTGTATTGATTTCAAAACCGGTAGTTACACATTTACGAAGAAAATCGATATTTAATAAAAAATATAAAGAATCGCGGAAACGCGTGTGCAAGATCGTCGATCGGTTTCCATAGTTTCGCTAAATCCCGAGCGAATATTTAGCGAACTGCAAAATTGAAACCGCTCGATTCCATGGCAAAACCAATGAGCGTTTCGAAAACATGAATCGCTGGCTTTTTAAGCACCGCAGAATTCGTACATTTCGTTGCGAATGACGTAGTCTTTTTTTGTGCGAAATACAAAGTCCAAAATCTTGTTACCTGAGTATTTAAACATTTTTCACCATCCACGGTGATTAGTATATCAGCGTTTTGTATCAACGCCTGCGCGCCACAATACGTTCACGGGATGGTTGTGTGTATGTTAGTATTGTAAAATGCGATTTGTATTGAAATATCGGCTACCGCAAAGTTATGAGATTGTAATTTAAGTGGCGACAGTTTTAATTATGGCAACGACTGACCAAGATGCGAATAACAATAACCTCCCTTTGCGGGAGAATTTAGTAAGTTTTCACCTACGATTAGGTTATACTAGTACTATATATTGTTCTTACTGGTTTATCTGATACGCGTCTAAAGAAAAAAAGGTTTCCGCGCACCGATAAAAACCGATCACGCATATCGGCACATGGTTACGTAAGCTGCACCAGGCTATTCTAACAAAATTACAGCTAATTATTTAACTCTTTCCTTTAAGGTCAAAACTGCAGTGGAATTTTTACAAAATCCTAAGGTAGCAAGTAGTCCTACAGATCGTAAACAGGAGTTCCTCAGGAGAAAAGGCTTGACAGAGGAAGAAATTAGAACTGCATTTCAATTAGCTTCTGTCGATCTAACTGCTGACCAAAATGTTATTCGCAAACCAAATGATTATACCGTGGTGCCTATGCTACCACCGGGTAGGCTCTACCCATCGTATATGCAAGCCCATCCGTACCAAATAACATTGTTCCATAAAGTTAAAGAGTTCTTTAATGCCACTGCTCTGATCGGTGCTACCATATATTGCGTGTACTGGTTCTACAAGGTAATTCCAACGTGACTAGAACAGTGGATAAACCCAGGGCTTATGTTTGTGTTGAATTGCAGAAATTCATTGAGCCATTTTTGTTCGGGAGGAAAAAGAAAGATAGCATAAAGGACTCTGTCTCAGAGCTAGATAAGACTATACAGAATTCTATGAAAGAGGTGAAACAATCCATTTCCAAGGTGGAGGATGATGTACAAAAACTGACACAAAACCAGTTCATCGATCCCATGGTACCGCAGCTGGTACAAGAACTGAAACAAGATTTAGCTAGTCTTAAGTCTTTACTTTTATCAAGGTATACATCTAGAAATACTGTTAGGATTTAACACTTGTACATGTACACACGCGTAGACACCACAGAATTTTAGGTGGTAACATTTATTGCTATACAAAGAGTTCGAAATTTGCTTAGACGCCGCTAATCCGATCTCGAGAATTTATACACATACGCCCACGCAGATAAACATACAAATGTCGATACAACTTTCTCGTAACAGGACATTCTTTATCTAAAAATACAAAAGTAATACGCTCCGTTTCTCGTTTGGAAAAAAGCGGCTATAAAATATATTTATATTATATATATATACATATACATGTTCGTTCGAATTTGAATCGGTTACAAAAAGAAGTCGTGTTGTAGAAAGAACACAGATATACACATACTACTTCCAACACCGTTGTACTAACACCGACAATCAGGATTTTGTTTCGCGGCAAGTCGAGTCATTTTTCGTAGTAGAAATGTGAAAAAAAAAACGAAATTTTGCTTTTGTTTGTGGCATCGTCATATTCACCAGAGCCTTTGAATTTGAAACAGAAAACAATTTCCGAGTGCGCCGGCGTCTATACCGCCGTGGCAATTAGATGCCACCGGTACAAGTCAGGAAAAACAGAGCGAACGGGAAGATGATTCTGGAAGTGGAAGTAGCACTAATAATTCCGATAGTTCTCTGGAAATGATTCGCGAGGATCCGCCCAAGGAGTGATCGAACAATATTCCATGACCGTACATTCACTTCCATCACGAGAGTCTTCGAGATAAATAGGATATTCTATGAAGTATATCCGACTTTGGAAAACGACGAAAAGAGAAAAAAGAAATGTTACCAGAAATACAGCAATAGAAACTGATCATGTGTAATATACATATATGTTGGGAATCGAGTGTGCTGAAATATTTTGTTTGCCCAATCGAACGTTTAATCATTCATCTGTTCCGAATGAAGTCGTGCTTTTATTATTTCTAGAATGGGTACGTTTAAGGCTGCTTATGACACAAAGGGATACATGTAATACATCGTTTGTTCATTTTTTAAACAATAATAATAATTCTTGTAAAACTGCTGGTTATCACTTAATATCTCTCTTTAATAAGTACCTAGAAAAATTCAACATTGTTTTCTTTTCGTTTACCCTTTGGTTTACAACAACAACGTGTCTCACTGTTGCCACCGAGGACCTCGTATCGCCATTGTTACGCTGGCGATGCGAACTTTTTCTAGTCCTTCGATCGATAATGCATCGGGGAAGGTATGAGAACCAAGAAAATAAGTACTATAGTTTTTTTTTACAAACTAAATATGTACATTTTAATCGGTACTTAAATTTATGGAGACAGTCGCAAATACAAAGAACCACATTAAGCCACTGATCGCATTATTTATACAACGAATCGTTCTCAATCTTTTGTGTGTTTGTGTACGTGTGTATGCGTGTTCGGAGCTAACAAAATCATTTTAATCTTCGGGCATATACATAGAACTGCATGGGAAATACATACATGTACATACAGACACGTTATGTACAAGAGATTTTCGTTTCTTTTAAGTGTGGTGTTGCGTGATCCTGCTCTCTCTTTTTTTTCTCTCTCTCTCTCTCTATACATATATCCTATATATAATTATTTACCCATGGCTAATCGTACTTTGGGATCAATTACGTTCGGTAATCGGAGATCCGCGTGAGCAACTCGTTCGACACACGTCAATAAATAAACAAACGTTCTCAATATACATACAATTGTTTATTCGAGAACAAATCATCGTTTTCTTGTCGGCTGAATCATTATTGTGCACATGGGTGTGTATCCTCTCCCTACCTATCTTTGTCTCTTCAATGAAAAGTTTTTCTCGTTTATGATCGACGTAAAACCGATATTTATATATGCATACATAAACATACATGTGTATATATGCATATATAAATATTCTGCGAAGTTAGTCGTTTAATGGCTTAATAATATACTGTCCATTCACGCGGTCCAATCATTCTGCAGCAAATGCCTTCTTCGTCGTAGTATGTACAAACTATATATATAATGTTCAATAGTACTTTTTGAGTGATTAAACAAGCGAACAAAGTATACAGTCGTACAAACCGATTGCAACACCCTTTCGCTGTTATTTTATTCGTCTATTTTTATTCTCATTTTCTCGCATTTTTTCTCTCCTTTCACTCTCTCTCATTCTCACTCTTCGACACTCAATTTCTCTTTCTCTCTCTCTCTCTCTCTCTCTTTCACCGACGCATTAACATCGTTACACAGCATTTCAAATAATTCTAATCCTTTCTAAAAAAAATTTGATGAAATTAAATCGCCTCTTCGTAGTTCTTTAATACTTCCTTTTTCTTTATTAGTTAAGTAATCAGGATAGCCGCCTCACTGATACAGTGAGTCGCGGCTGAGTCCGTTTCGAAGTGTGACTTAGTACTTCATCATTGTTTCCGTTTACGCTACGTGCTAGGTTCAATAATATTATTCATATATAACAGAAATAATTCGTTTAAAAAATATAACACTTTTTTGCTTCTTCCCCCATCTCGTGTGTGGCAAAATAGCACTCGACCCTGCCGCGGTCACCAGTTGAACTGTACCATTTCTTTTTCTTTTAACGGAAAGAAAGAATTTCACGCTTTTTCTAGGATCATCCTTGAACAATTGAAAAGAGAAGAAAAAAGAATAATAAACGTGACTAGGTCGAAAAGGAACGATTCTCTAACGATGCGTTAAAGGAACGATTCTCTAACGGTGCGTTAAAGAAACGAACGACACGATGTCGGGTCGGCAACGACCCCGGAACGCAGCAGGGTCAAACGTTCGGTAGAATATCTTTACAATAGAACAAAAGTATTTAGAGTGAAACATACGAGTCTACAATAGTTCAAGAACTCGATCTTTGGCAAATACATCTTTCCCGCGAAAACATTGTGTTTGTTGTGTGTATTGTTTGTTATGTGTGTGTCTCCCTGTATACGTGTACACATATAGGGCCTACATGTGCACACGTATCGTTGTTGCGCACACAAGAACATAACGCGAAATATATCAGGATGTTTTGTGCTGACATAAATAGTTCGGTTGAAGGTCCCACTCCCTTTTACGTAATCGCCCCTTGTTCGTCTTGTTCTTCTTCATCTTTTTCTTAAATCTTACTCGCTACGGTTCTTTTTTCGTGTTTCTGTCATTTAACGAGCGTAGAAAATGAGGACAGGGTAAAGGGATCATCGTTTTCATCATTCAGGCAGCATCCTAACGTCTATTATCCGTAACAATAATAATCCTAGATTAAACACGCTAAATTGTTTTCACCTCGTCGTAGCTCGGTCTCTAATGAATCTAACGCACCGATCGATCCGGACCGTGCTACCAAGTATGATGTAAATGTAAATTCCTCGAAAGAACGGACCGCACGTCTTGCGTGAAACGAAGCGCATCCAAAACCGGAAGCAAGCTCAACAGAGCCGTGTCTCCCGCGTCGCTAAACCACGATTTGATTGGTATCGCGTTATCTGTTGGGACAAAAACAAACCAGCTCAGCTCGGCGAACTAATTAAAACACCTCGCGACGCCTCATAGTTATCGATCTAACGCGCTCATCTTGAAAAACGAACGCACTGGGTGTCTCGACTAAATGAATCACCTAAAGCCAAAAAAAAAACACGATTCTTTTTGTCTAGGATACAAAATCAATTTCTGTCGTAGAAAATCGAATTCCAGTAGAATCTGTAGGGTTACATCTCGTTCATTAAATTACTTGTATTTTATGGGGCTTTCTCTGCTGAATTATTAAAGAGAACTATTAAAAAGCGTTTGTATCGTCTTTCAAAAATAGTTCGACTATCAATAACGGTAGATCCAACGATTGCACTGGAATAACTTAATTTAATTAATTAAAGTTTATCAATTTAATTTTGGAATTATTATTCATTTCAAGTTCGGAAAAATCTTGAAATAACCGTAGGTTATAAAAATGCGGACATTTAGGTGATTCTATTTAGCCGAATCAGCCTGCAAATTACGCGAAAGTATAGCTAGCATAACATCCAAGAAGTGCGGCTTCTAATGCTACTTATTTGCGTACACTAAATGGCCAAAAAATCTTCTCATTTTTTTTTATTACGTTCTGAAAGTTTCTTCACGATTAGCCGAGAGAATTTGTTGGCCAATCGAATGCGGAAAAATAGTAGACGAGTGTAGAGACGTGACGATACTATTTTCTTGGATGCTACTCATGAGATGCTCAGAGCGTGAGAAGTAGAATCTAGTCTATAGATTGATACCTGATGGCACAGGGACAATTCGATTAAAAAAAATATACTAAGCTGAAATTATTCGCCGTGTTCGGCGTACACTGTCCAGTGTATACTCAAGCGGAGTAGCATTGGCAATTGATCGTATTTTACATGATCCATAGGCCTGTATTCAGTGCTTGCTTACAGAACATCAACGCTGATAGCTGCAAATAGATATGGTTTTCGATCAGATTATACTGAGCGGTACGCCACGGTGCTTGTATAGCCGAACTATCGCAAAAGATTCTTGTTGGAAACGAAATCGTGCGTAGAAAAAAGAGAATGCATTGAGATTACGTTGCACAATGGTAGGGTCGATATCGGAGTATCGGTGTTTCAGAGAACGTTGTAAAAATGAGAAGAAACACAGCCAGAGTTCGAGAGTTCGTCGAGATTATGATTTAGCGTATTGCGTATGCGCTTTCTACGAAGAACGCGGTGACGACTAAATGCGATGCGGTACGATTTACGAGAATAGAATTCTCTTTTCGTTTTTTTGGGAATCGTCTGTACGATAATTATGAGAGATATTCAATGCTTGATCGTTCTACTGCTGACGGTTGTGCACATGTAAGCAAGTTCTGACTACAGGTCGAAACACGATGCAACAATAGCGCCGAAATTATAATTGCAACGGCATGAACGTGCATATTAATTAAAATTTCATGATTCGCGTGACCTATGCGCGCGAACAGATTTACACACAATTGTTGTATCGTGTGACAGTGTGTGTGGACTAAATAAATTTACGTGAGACAAAGAATTTGTTTATGAACGTTAATAGAATCGGAGGGGATCGGTATACTTACGTGGATAAGCTCTGTAGGCTCCAGGACTATTATCAAGTATAAAGACCGATGCTAGATCTGAACAAATCGCAGACAAGTCTTTAGTATAGGAACCCAGTTCTGGTGTACAGTGCTGTCTATAATATCTGCGCCTTAGAATACCTCTGTTGTTATCTAACTTATCTGCGACAGCTGCTCCATAGATTTCCATGGATGCAGTGAAGACCACTAATTCATACCTAGAAAAAAGTTGCATGATTTTTCACAATCCGATAGAAAATTCTCCAGATTAGATACGATCTTATCTGGAGACGTGCTTAAGTACAAAGTTCAGGCAAAGAACTTACCATTGACTAACAATGTCTAAAAAGAAATCTACGTGTGGTCTCTTATGAACAAAAAATCTGACTGGATGTCTGTCTATCGTCACCTTGAGGACAAAATCTGGAGGTGTGCCAGGCCTGACCGTCGGCCTTGCCACTCCATCGTGATGAGAGTGAATTAATGTTTCGTCTAGGTCCAACACTAATACTTTCCTCCTAACTATACCTGGAATACACTTAATTATATAGAAACAATAATACGCATCGCGGTGTTGCGTTGCCACATCGATCATAAATCCAACAATACTTACTAAGCCTGTGCCTCGACAATGGAGATAATGGGAAGATTTCGTACTTAACAGGTTGCATTTGTGATATCTAAAACAGTTAAACAACTATAAAAAAAAACACCAATTTTTCTGGCTTCTCAATGTAAACAGCAGTGAACAACTACTACAACGAATGTGCGGCGATCAAGACCAAAAATACTACGGGTAGAGATAAGAGAAACAAAAATTCAATAGCATAAGGACGAACATCGACTGCAGCCAGGGTTGCACTACTGTCAGAAGAGGACGAAGATTCGCCGGGAATGGTGAAAGCGACGGCCGACGGTAGACGGCCGGATGCGATCATGGGAATCGCATGGGGCGCAGAAGAGGCGACGGAAACGGGAGCGAAAATAAAAACGGGATAACTGAGGCGCGAAGCACCTACTTACGGCTCTAACCTGCTTCTTAAGGAGAAAGCAGACGCAAGTCCACACACGGGAGGCCATCAAGAGGAAAGCTCTCAACCCCATCTGCAATTGCTTCAGCATCTCTACTGATCGTCTCACCGGGCCGAAGTCCGGCAAACACTTTATCTCCAGTGTTCCGTCTGCGTTCCACGGGGTTTCTGGTCCTCTTGTTTTCCGTTTGCGACACTCCGGCACTACGGGGCCCCCGAGAAAAACCGTGGTGTCACCACGAACGAGCGCCCTGTGTCCCCCGTAAACAAAAGGTTCCGTCACGCACGGGACCGGTCGCACCGAATCTGAACAAGTTAGAAGCACATTACGGGCCGTCCGCTAACGATAGCGCTCAGCACGTGCGAACAGGCATTCCCGTATCTTGTCATGTTGTTGGCGAAATAGACGGCACGGATCTTTTCTCACGCACACCACGCAGCGGCCGCCATCTTTCGCACATCGACCCAATTTTTCCATGCGCTACGCTGGCGCGCATCGTCTTCGGAAAATTCTGTTTCGCACGCGTGCGGAATTCACGCGGTTCGAATTTTCCGTGGGCGCACGCAGCACGTGGAAAAATTTCGGTGCACGTCGACGGACCACGTCGGCCGACGATTGCATAATCGGTCCGAAGATGAGACCGGCCTGCGAACACTATGCCGGACCTAGCCCAAACAAGACTCGTGCCGGAGCTTGAGAAAATGTTTTTCCCGAGCTTTCCCCGCGGCCCGCGCGCTAGCTATGGCCAGCCGTGCTAGAAAAACTGCCGGCAAGCAAGACCGTGGGTGCTGTGCAACGAGCGTTAACGCGTTCCACCGAAGAACGGTCATCGTGCCAGATATCGCTGCGAAAGTAAGCAGTTTCCCCCCGCAGCGATAAAACGCATTGCAAGCTGCATCGGATTAACTTCTGAAGCATTACGATCCGTCTGTTGCGTTGGGAAACCAAACCACGCGGTCGATTCATTGCAACGAAGATGGCGGATCGGTTAATCCTCGCGTAATGCCGTCCACGAGCAAGCAACACGGCGGGATATCACCAAAAAATCACCAGAGCTTCCGCACGAATGATCGGGCAACCTCGGCGCGAGGGACTGGTGCGAGCAATGTTAAACCAAAAGGGAGGAAAAAAGAAAGCGTTAACGTTCACCTGCCGCATCGTTAGCCGTTCGTGTCAGCGCAAACTTACCGTAAAGGCGGAAAAGTAAAAATAACTTTCTCCGGGGCTGTAAACGGGCGTTTATATGCATTTAATGATATACGGACGACGCCTGTATATTGTTTGCGGTATTGTTGGCTTGAATTTTCAAAAAATTCCGACCGATTCGATTGGTTCCCAGAGGCTGGGGGAATTCTCCTTTTTCGCTCGGTCGGCCATTCCGTGCCGTCGGATCGCGCCCCGTCAAGCCAATCGGATCCGTGCACTATTGGACACAAAAAGGAAACGAAGCGTCGGCATTCTGTGATGATGTTACTAACTCGCAGATGTAACAAACGGTATCAACCTTAAAATCTAGTATGACGTTTATTATACAAGCAGCTGCTTGGGTTCCATCAAAATACGGTACTGTTAGTGATCGGCTAGACCGAGAGATCTAAACCAGTCAACGGATACACTGCGCTGTGCGACCGTAACCGAAAGAGCGTGCCACGATTTTTTCCGCGCCGAAGTCCACCGAGTCCCGAGAGAGAACACGATGACGGACCTAACAGAGCTACGAATGAACGTGGCCGCTCTGAAGCGGGTGGACCCTTATGTGAAGGATATCCTAGGGACCGCGACTCACGTAGCACTTTATACGTTCAACGCGGTCAATAATGAATGGGAGAAAACCGACATCGAGGGTGCTTTATTCGTCTACTCGCGAAATGGCGAGCCGTACAACAGTGTACTAATCATGAATAGGTAATATACAATTATTCCGTATGTTTTCACATAAAACGGTCGCATCGCGACCTTGAAACCCGCCGAAAGGATCCCCGGGGCACCATAACGATACTTTCGACAACGGAATTTTCGAAACCCTGGTATTACATTGCCATACCATGTGCTATAGCAATAGCTCTGATGGAGGTTAAAATTCAGCAAAATGTAAACCACTGGGGACCTCTTTGGATCCTGGATAGAACATTATTTTCCCACCTATGTATTTCTCTGTGCATCATTCACGGATCTTTTTTCAGATTAAATACCAATAACCTAGTGGAGCCAGTCACGCAAGGCTTAGACCTGCAACTGCAGGAGCCCTTCTTGTTGTACAAGAATGCTAGATGCAACATATACGGTATCTGGTTCTACGACAAAGAGGAGTGCGTACGCATCGGTGCAATGTTGAACAAGCTTGTGAAAGAATCAGAATATAACCGCAAGACCAGCAGCAAAGCATCTGCTAACATAAAAAAGAGTACTGGACCTAATGTAAACAATGTCGACATATTTACCATGCTCAGCAAAGCTCAGAAAGATTTTAATACTAATAGAAATAGCAGTGGCGGTGGGGAAAGCACGATCGAAGATCTTGGCTCCAAGTCCCCGATAGACACCCCCACCGTAGAGGGCACTTCCGGGCCTCTGACTGCTCCATTAGGTCCAGATGTTACTTCCCAAAGTGTGATGGACTTCTTTGCCAAGGCAAAAGTTAGTACTCCCATCAAACATAACCAGGTTCCAGTATACGAGATTTTTCTTTACAAATTATGGTACATAAGGTTTAGGCCGGGCAGGAACAATGTTAGCTGTTGCGATCTTTTTAGGTGAACACAGGGGTGTTGGTCGGGGAACAACCGACACCCGGGGGCGCGGCTGCTAGCGAAAGCAAGCCGCTGCTGGCTCGGTTGATGTCTCATCCAGCGGCTCACACGGTGGAACACATCGAGAAGCAGCACAGATCGATCACTCCGCAACCAACTACTAACACTTCTCAGCAATCGCAGGCTGCGCCTTGTCAGACGGGCGTAGTCTCTTCGACCCGATCGAAACGGCGAAACAAAACGTCCTCGCAGCAGGATTCAATGATATCGACACCGATATCCACGAGCCACAACGTGACGCCATCTGCCAATCAAAACGCGACCGACACGAACGGCACTGCTGGTTTCCTTAGGATACAGTCGCCTACGAACACGTCCTTGAACTCCACGAGCAACCACCAGGCCTCAGACATTGTCGTTGGCTCTAACAATTCGAATCCGCTCGCGTCTCTGTTCGCTCATGCATCCGCAACAACGGTGAGTGGTCTGCCGTACGGCTAGATCGTAGAAGTTAGGGATATATTTGAGAATCATTTTCTTTCTTTCCATTGAATCAGGCTTCGGAAGAGACTGTTCCGTCAACCACGTTGTCGGGAAGAGGATCAGCTCCGGCATTAATACCTCCAGTTATGTTCGCCGCACCTAGCCCCCCCGAACCACCGGTCAGGCCTTTAGAGCCACTGACGAGGAACCAGCTTCTGCAGGCCTTCAATTATCTGTTGAGGAGCGACCCGGATTTCATCAACAAGCTCCACGAGGCTTACGTGAAATCGTTCGGTGAAATTCTGTCCTAAAGCCGTGAACTGTTAACGTGACGTAACTGGAGAACCCGTTATGCGGGTTATGACGGTCGACCGTGCGGCAACGAGGGAACACGGCCGAGTAAAACCCTGGCGTCGTGTCCCCGTTGTGTGCCGGCAGCTTTAGCATATAATTCGGGCTGCGAGGAAACATGAGAGAGTCTCTCAACCGAACACACCGACTGGCAACGCCCAATTTCTGCTTGGAGGGAGGGCGAAGGATATAGATTATAAATGGAGATACATACCTTAAACAGTATTTTTATAAAGTAATACATTTTTCTCCCAAGGAAAGTGATCGAGTAGCTGGTGGGAACGCGTTAACAAGGTATGGAGTAAGAGAGCGAGAGAGAGAGAGACGACGGCGTAACAAGCGAATACACATACACACAGAAAAAAGAGAGACAGAGAGAGAGAGAAAGAGAGAGAGAGAGAGAGAGAGCGACATGAAACACTTCACAACACTTTCTCACACATACACAACACGTGAACAGTACGGATAAACGAAATACGGAAAAAAACGAAATTGTCAGAGGAGACATACGGCGAGGAGGAACGTGAAAATTGTACGATTTTAAACTGTGATGCCAAAACATTTATATTATACTAGCGTTTTATGGTTACTACTATTTCGGAGACAGAGCGAAAGAGACAAATTTTTCTGAGCCGATCAAATGGAATACCTATTTTACAGAGTAATGACATACCCCCTCCTATATATCGGGTATTCGATATGGTATGTGTATGTAATTAATAAAGTAAAAAAAGGAGCAAATAAATAGAGACCGATTACTGAAAAAATCGTTTCAATGTATTTCAAGTCGATCGATTTACGCATCGATATTCATCATTATCATCATCATCATCATCATCATCACCATCATCGTCATTCATCATCATCATCATCATCATTCCCCGTCGTGAGTAAAACACGCGTTGCGAAACAAGTATTGGCGCTCGGTTACGCTAGATTATCACAATACAGTAATGTTTATATGGAATACGATTAATGTGTGACAAGTACATGGTGTACTAGGATCATTTTCCGGTGGAAGATGCTCTCTAACGCGCGGTTGGTAAAGCTGTCGCCTCCGGATGTAGGCGTGGCTTTGTTGCCTTTGACGGAACCAGATAGAATAGTTAGCACCCGTGCCGGTCGATCGTGGTCAGGAAAATCATAAAGAAAGAGGAAAGGAAAGAAAACGAGACAGACATCAGACTTTTATTGTTCTTCGTTCGTTCCGCGTTTCCCAGCCGGAAATAATCGGCAACTCCTTCCGCCTCGAAGCACCGATCGCAAGTTCACGCCGCCTAAGTAAACGTTACCATCTCTAATACGATAGAAAATACACAATCTATTTACATTGCTACAATATAAGGCGATATCATGCGTCTCCGTTGTCTCCGTTACACGAATCATGTACAGAGGGAGGCCCCTATTATGGGCCTTCTTCTACTCCAGTCGATCATCCGACGAGATATCGTCGCCAGTGATCGGCGCACAACACGCAGTGTTATAATTTACAGCAGTCGCTTGTTTTCTCATTGTTTCGTTTGTTTCACAAAATTCACAGCCAAGTGGAGCCATCGTTAGCCCGCTAGCTTCCTATAGAATATAGTCTTTAACTATGTTCGTCCGTTGGAACACTCAAGAACGTCTTTGGAAATCGCCGGTTTCAGACGAGAGGCACTTTCGGTGGTCCAAGCAACGGGGGCCCGTTGTCCGGCATCCGATGCGGCCCCAGTTTGTCGTTCTGCGTCGGCACAGGCTGCAACAATCGCATCGCCAGGCTGGCCAGTATCAGCAGAACGATTACGCCACAAATCGGCACCGCGATCGTCGCAGTCTTGAACCAGCCGTCCGTCGACTGACCCCCGTGATTGATCGGCTGCACCGGGCTCAGGAAAGGTCGCTGGTCGCCGCCGACCAACACTGCAACACAATGAGACCTTCGGTAACGACACCGCCGCTCGCTTCTGCATAAATTTATGCGAGAACGCTTCGTTATTCATAAATTCGCGCAACCTTCGACTTTCACTATTGTTTCGCGAATCAATCGCGTCCGAGACTTCCAAGTCGCGGTTTACCGTGCCGGCAGAAAGGTGAGATGCGTGCAGAAAAATTTGTTACGTTCGCTGCATCCTCTACGTCGACGATTCTGCGGCAGTAAGAAAAAACGCCACGTGTCGCAATTTTAAGAAAATGTTTACTTTGTTACATTAATTCAGCCGTGGATTACAGGATTTACCCGTTTGGAAGCATTACCGAACAGAGCTTTAAGCGAGAATATCTCGAAAGTGAAATGCCGATAATGTTTGCTAATGTAACAATCTCCACGTCGAAAACGTGTCGAACGCGAGGAAACAACGCGTACAGTTTCGGAATAGCCTAAAGACGGTTTACGGGCCGCAGAACACGCGAGGCTTGATGGAGAACACGCGGCGATCCGGACACCCAGGTAGCCGATTACCCGCGAAAGCGTTTAATCAACTACATTGTAAAAAGCCTGGAACGAGCTGCTTCCACAGGTGGTACTGGTGCGATGCATTAAAAAAGGGTCGGCTCGTTTTCCGTTTCGTGTGAGGTCGGCGAGGATCGTGAACGATGTTTGCGGCGAGTTCGATCGTGTACGCGGTTTTATTATCGAACGAGGCCGCCTCTCGTCTCACCTTGGAGGGTCTTGTTGATCCTGTTTCTCATCGCGGGGCTGTCGACGTGGTTGCAGAGATCCTGCTCGCAACAGAGGTATCCCTTGGGACACCGGCGCTCCTTGAAGCTCTCGTCGAGGCAGCCGCCATTGGTGTCGTGGCTGGCTCTCAGAAGCGAAGGATTCGCGTTCGACGGCAGCTCGGTGAAGCAGCCCCTGCCGCGACACATGTATCCTTGGGGCACGCATTCCGGCTGATTGCAGTAACACGTCACCTCCCGCACGTCCCGAGAATCTGTAACAAGCGCCAGGCACCGTGTTTTAATTAGCTGGCCGTTACGATCGCTGCTGGCGAATCGTCTTGCGATGAAACGCGTAAACGACTGGGAACAGTGCCCTGTTATCTGGCGAGCGAAGTCACGCAAGGGCTTCGAGTTCGTAAAGCGAGAGAGAAAGAGAGAGAGAGAGAGAGAGAGGAGAATAAGACAAGATGCAATATTAAGTGGCCATCGCGCGTAATCGAGGATCAACGTTGCTTTCGCGAGGGGAAATTCCCGTGGATTCTTTCTCGAAATCGCGATAACGCGGAACAAGACCAGCGCGGAGGAATCGTCATCGACGATTAATCAACCCCGCGGTCTGATTAATGATGCAATAGCATGGGTGGTCCGCTGCATCGCGGTCTCACTCGATACAGAACCGCAACAGCGTGCGCAAGGATCGTCGAAATTATACGGAGCGGGGCGACACGCGGTGCTCCGCTAATTGATTGCAACTCATCTTTATTTATACGACCTGGCCCCGATAAGACCATTCGAGGATGCGCAATATAATTCCAGGAACGATCGGGATTTTCGCGTTCCAACGTCCCGAGGCACTCGCTGCGTCGATAGTCGGCGGCCGCCTCTAATGAGTAGCCGACTGAAAGTCATAAAAGATTATACCCTGCGCGTCGCAACAGGTAGACACGCGGGCCTAGGCTTTCGTTTACCTGTCTGCCCGGACAGCCGTCTTCCACGCTATTGTTCGCGAAAATGGAACGATCGAACGCCGACACCGATGAACTGAATTTTTATCAAATTCTTACGAAACTCTTACAAAATTCTTGCTATCGTTCGTTTGTGCGGAAGACGGTAATTGCATCTGTTCGGAAAATTTATAACACTGAACTGGTTACGCCAAGATAATGTTAACCCGGATTTCTTTGAAATCGAAACAGAATTCTTCTGTCGTCAAACTTCGAGAATGAAAGTAGATGAAGGCACGCAAGAAACAAGAATTGTCTCGTTCTGATCTGAATAAATTAAAGGCTTGTTATTCCCATAGAGCAACAGACGTTGGTCACTTTTTACTACTGCATTTCACGCGATCACCGTGTAACACGTGAAAGGATAATAACTTAATGTCGCGCCGTGTCGACGAAATCCGGGCGCAAAGTGTTAAAACAATATATGCGAAACTGGCCGTGTCGACCGGCTCGTTAGGTTTGTGTAAATTTGTAGTTGAATCGAGGCAAAGAAATGCGAAAGCCGGTGTACATTTTGTGTAAAACGGAGTGGCTGGAAGAAGAGGATCGGAGGTTCTGGAAGGAATCCGCCTGGAGGAACACGGCCGATCCGCTGGGACCGTGCTTGACGTAGCGTAAATATACATTACACGGCCGGAGTAGAGTTCTCTCTCCCCGCGGTGTGTTAATGAGGGCCGTACGAAATAAGCAAAGAGACATGGAGCAGTTCGCGGTGACTAACCATCGTGCCGCTTGTTTATTATGATAATGCGGAGCCATCTTTATCCGTGACTTTACTCTTCCCCTTCGGTCGTTCCCCGGCCTCTGCCATCGTTCCCCCCTCTTCGTGCTCGCAGCCACGGTCAACGGAATAATTGACTCGGCTACCGCGGATTGAACCGCGCGGCCCGATGTAACGAAATAATTCCGTTCTCGCGATCGGATATCTGGCCGCGTAGGATCGGCGACAAGGCTCTTTGTCCCGTCCTCGAACGCGCCGCGCCGCCGGAAGAAATCGAACAAAGAACAACCTCCCGCGACGATTAACCGCGGTACAGTTGTTTATTATGGTAATGCGAGGCCATCTTTATCCGCGACTGCGGCCGCTCTGTCTCCGGAACCCTCCCCCCATTAAACGACCCTTTCTCTCTCGACAGAACCTTCTTACATTCTCCTCTTTCTCCTCGGAGTTCTTGCTAATAAGCCTGCAGCGCAGCCTTCCTCTCTCTCCCTCGTCTCTTCCTTCTCTCTCTTTCTCTCTCACTCTCTCTCTGTTACTCTCTCGCTCTCTCTGCATTCGTCTCTCTCCGGTCGACGAAGCCCGGCTCATCGGGGAATAAAAAACGCTAAAACAGCCGAGTCACAAAAGAAAGATTAAAGTGGAGAGAATATATGGAGAGAGGCATGCGGCCCTCGGCTGTGTGCATCGATGCCGTTCGCTCGGCCCATTGGCCGGCTCTCACGAGCCCTTCTGGTGCGACAGAGAACGCAAATACGGGGGGACAGGGGCGGAACAAGAGGACCGAAGTTTTTAAGAAAAATCTCTGCACTCTGAATTACGCAAGGAGGGGGAGCACCGCATCCGGATGCGCCACCGTCTCCGGAAAGCCCCGGACGCTGCACCGTTGCACCTCGAAGAATCCCCGAGGAATTGTTTACTGGCGGCGTAGCTTGTAATATGATTGAAATATTCGGGTTCCGTTAGCGTATGACAAGGAGATCGGAAATTTCTCCGAAAGGAATTTGTCTCGTCTGGAGAAGGACCTCGAGAGCCCGGGAGGATCGGTGCGGGAGAGACGAGGAGAGAGACAGAGAGAGAGGGAGGAAGGGAGAGGAGGACAGAGACAAAAGGAGCTGCGGCGAAGGGCCTCGTGTGCGTTTAAAATAAAAAGGGAAAAAGGGGAAGCAGCGGGAGGTCGAGGAGGCCCGGGCAAAAGAGAGATACGGCCGACATGCCTGGAGCCGAAGAAGACCCGTCCGAAAACAAACAGACTGCTTCGCGGGGTCGTTCGTTATGCGTCCGTGGCATATTAATTATTTCTCGACGGTCTACCCCCCCCCTCTCCACACGCCCATATCGCTCGTGTTTCTTTCTTTTACATTTTTGCCCCGGTTGCCAAACTATTGCGGCCCCGGGAACCACCCCGAATCGATTCCCGCGGATTCTATTGCCCCGAAATGCCAGACACGACGGAGTCTTCGGGACAGAATCCCAGAAATTAGCGAAAGCCGGTCCCGAATTGAGATCATCGTTTCACGATCGACACGTCGACCCTTATCAACCGCTGGCCCCGAGGAATTTCATTTCTGTACCGTCTGACGGAGTCAGGTCAGATGACTCTGGAATGGTAAAAATTGTTCGAAAATATATCAATGAAATTTGTAATACATTTTGTTTTATTTATTAGATGAAATATGCTAAAATAATATCTTCGGGATAAAACCCGGATAAAAATGGAAAACCATGCGAAAAACAATAAAATACATGAAAGCGATACTTTTCAAAGGATTTGTGTAAAATATTCCGCTCAATACACGTAAATCTTACGAATTCAGATTAGTGCTTTAATAGAATTTGTGTAATATTGCGTAATATTTCGTAGAAACGTTAAGACGCGATAACGTCTACTTCGGACAGAGAAATATCAATTTATGAAGAATCTCGCGGAGTTGTCTAGTAACATCGAGCTGCAGTGAATTCTCGGTGGCTCCGAGAAAATATTTAAATAATGTCCCTCGACAGGAACGCGGAGAAGGAAATTTCAGCTGGTTTGATAACGTTGTAGGTCCCGATTTATGTAGATGGCGGAGCGTTCAGAGGGGCCGCCGGTGGCTTCTCTCTCTCTTTCGAAAAATAGAGAGCATGGACGCCGCTGACAAAAAAGGCAGACAGCCATTGACGAACGTCCACGGTCCCGTGTGTTTTGCGCTCGTAAAGCTGTCCGATTTCTTCGTGGTCGTCGGATCATCCCGGCGAATTCCCGGTATCGCGTCGTCACCGATAAAAGGTTTTAGCGTGGCTTCTCGGCGAGGCTTAACCTTTAACTCACCGACGTACGATAGCGTCGTCGATGCTTGCTCCCGGGAGCCGAGACGAGACGTCGGATCTATCTAACGAGATACACGTGCTGTAGCATGTAACTTCTACGCTGATAAGCTTGTTTATTTGTCGATGGAACACGGCAGCAGGAGTAAGGCGAGGAAGGGTTCGACATTCGTCACTTATCCGGGATGAAATATTCATGTATGCTGATCGAGCTTAAACAAAGCCGCCACCCCGCGAGGGGGAGGGCCCGGCCACGTTGTTATAATTAACTAATTAATCGAGCCTCTCGATGCGATAGCCGCGCGGTGGGGACAAGAGCCACCCAAACGCGACCAGAAAACATTTGCCACGAAGGCATCGATGAAAGTACCGAATTCCGCTCTGAATATGTATCAAAAATCGAGAATGAAAATACCATGAAAATGAAATCCAGAAGGTAACAGCATCGTAAATTATAATTTTATATATTTCGGTCAATTCGGGGCGGGCAGTCTTCGACGTTTTACAGCCGCATTAATAATTCATAAAACTGGAAAAATATTATACCACGCTGCGACCCAAATGTTCAGTTAACTGTCTGCACAGATTTTCTTTTTTTTTTGTAAATTCCGAGGGCATTTATGAAAGGGGACTTAATTCCGCTTTCGGACGCCTTTCGCCCCACTGCGCGCCGGTTCGCGGCTAATGGGGCTTCTCGGCGGGCAGACCACGCGCGGAATTATTCCCCGGATCGTTACACCCCGGGAGTGGTAATTGCGGATCGAAGGCTCGCGTACGGGGTCGCGGGCCCCGGATCGAAAGAAACGGGAATCGATATCGGCTAACGAGTCGGTTTTCAGCGCGGGCACCGAGGCTCGCGCGGTCCGCCGGGGCCCAGGCCAGCGCGAGGCGAGCATGCCCGAGGATAGAAAGCCGTGCTCGACGGAAACTTGATTTGAACGAGGCCCGTTGTATATGCAATTAGAAGAGCGACGACCCGCGCGCGAGCCTGTGTACGTGCGCGGCACCGCTCGCGGCCCGCGCCGTACACCATCGTCCCGGAATGATGAAACTAATGAGTTTCTCCCGGACTCCCTCGAGTGTGTCCGTTAATGCACGTACATTGCGTAACAAGCCGCGAACCCGACCGTTCCTATATGCGTGCGAGTTGCGACGAGTCGCGTCCGCTCTCGCTCCGATCGCGAGAGGATTTTATTTCGTCGCGTCGCGATCGAGCGGCGTCCGCCGCGGCGCGGCGAGGCGA